AAAGGGAGAAGGATAAAGATGTTGGCGGGATGAAAAAAAGCCTTTCAATGTGTTTGAAAGATAGTAGGTAAGTACTGTCAGTGTATTAGCAGGACAGGAGGGTTTAAATATTCAGGTTAGCTAAAGCTAGCCTAATACACTGCGGTTGGCTGTTAAATGTTGCCTCCCCTATTGATGTGATTTGTTTAGTATTTTCTGTATTTTTATGAATATTTGATACATGCGCCTCGCCTGTCACACACACATATCCACACACTAAGTGTAAGAATGACCAAAATAAAACTCATGAAATATTAACACAGGAAAGCTAAACTGTTGTGGCGGCAGTTCCCAGCTATGATCCAACGCTTAGCCCTCAGTGCTGCAATTTATTCACTCATATGTACATTTATTATTATTGATTCTTTAATTAAAGATGAGTTGTACAAGTTTATGTGTGTATCAGATAAATTAGTCCTCAGTGTCACTATAGCTCAAAAAGGTTGGTGACCCATGTTTCCAACCTTTTTGGCAGAGGGACACTTGAGTTTAAATGTCTTATTCAGTATCACTACAGTGGTGTGTGTTGTTATGTATCTGGTGAGTCAGATCAGATGAAATGTCCAGTCAGTAACTGTTATCCAACAAGGAGATCATTTAAATTCAAGTTTCATTTCTATTGTGGTTTGACTGCTGTATTTTTAAACCTACTTGACACAAAATTAATGTCATTCAGCTGTGAGGATGGAGAGAAGGAAGAGAAGATGACAGAGGAAGAATCAGGACAGACTGGGGAAGGCAACAGGTTGGTCTAATGCAGGTGGAAGTGAGGGAACAGTTACTTAATCCCAAGCAATAACGTGTAAACATTATTTTTAAAAACTGTATTAAGATCTGTCATTTTTACAACTAATATATAATGCTTTTTTGACCTTATGACTTAGTGCAGAATGCCACAGACAAAAGGTGAAGGAGACAGACACGAGGTCAGTGATAGAGGAGACAAGTGATGACATCAGGTAGGAATAATTACATTAGGGAGGCAACAAAAACCTATATACCATGATGGTTTTAATTTCTGATGACCATATTTCATTGTCTTCTTTTTTGGGAAAATTAGTTCAGGCAGACATGGTGAGTTAATCATCACAAAGCAGAGAGGACCAGATGATGAAGAGGGAGAGGAGCAGAGAGGACCAGATGATGAAGAGAGAGAGGAGCAGAGAGGTCCAGATGATGAAGAGGGAGAGGAGCAGAGAGGTCCAGATGATGAAGAGGGAGAGGAGCAGAGAGGTCCAGATGATGATGTAGAGGGAGAGAAGTACAGAGCTGCAGAGGAGAGGGCTGAGGCAAGGCTTTATTCAGAAGATCCATCCGAATGGCCTTTACCACACAAAATGGGGGACACATTTAGGCAGTACATGGTTGAAAATGGCCCACAGAAAGTTTCTGATGGTCCATATCCAAGATCAGAGAAGAATAAGAGGTGTTTTTCCAAAGCGTACTGTTTTCGTATACTGTCTAATGGAGAGAAAGTTGAACGAGATTGGTTACTGTATTCCAAAAATACCAGCAGAGTCTATTGTTTTGCGTGTAAGCTTTTTGGTGAAGCTAAAGTTTCTGATACATGCCTTGTGGCAGGGTACAGTAACTGGCGATGTCTTTCAAAAACACTGAAGCACCATGAAACCAGTAGTTCTCACATAAATGCTTATCTGATGTGGAAAGAAATGATATCTCGCTTACGCCTAGGTAAGACTATTGATAGTGAACTGCAGAGAACCATGGCAGCTGAAAAAGCATACTGGAGAAGTGTGTTGACTCGAGTTATTGACTGCATACTCTTCCTTGCAGAGAGAAACTTGCCACTAAGGGGGAAAAATTCTCAGTTAGGAAATCCTAAAAATGGAAATTTTCTGGGAATCCTTGAGCTCATTGCACGATATGATGTCACACTGGCAGAACATCTTAGAAAGGCAGCCTCCAAACAAACCACTGGATATCTGACATGGTGCACTCAGAATGAATTTTTAGATTCAATATCAGAGTGTGTTTTGGGTAAAATATCTGCCCAGATCAAAGCCTCTAAGTACTTTGCAGTGGAACTGGACTGCACACCTGATATTTCAACGCAAGAGCAGGCCTCAGTCATTATTCGATATATTGATACTGATGAGAAGAAAAAAGTCACTATTGCAGAGTCTTTTGTGGGGTTCACTGCTGTTAAGGACACAACTGGGAAAGGCCTCACAGATACACTAACAGGGGTTCTGGAGAGTCTGGGGTTGGATTTGGCTAATTGTAGAGGGCAAAGTTATGACAATGGCTCTAATATGAGGGGAATAAACAAGGGTGTTCAAGCTTTAATACAACAGAGATGTCCAGAGGCTTTATTCATCCCCTGCTGCAGCCACAGCCTGAACCTTTTGTTATGTGATGCAGCCTCATCTAGCAGAGAGTGTCTCACTTTTTTTGGCACTGTTCAAAGATTGTACACAATCTTTTCGTCTTCTGTGAAGAGGTGGGACATTCTCACAGAGTTTGTCGACATCACACTGAAGCCTCTGAGTGACACCCGGTGGGAGGCAAAGCTAGACTCTGTCAAAGTTTCCAGATGGGGGGAATTTTAGATGCACTACAAAAGCTTGGAGAAGTGGCAGGAGACAGCAAGATTGTCTCAGAGGCAAAATCACTATCTGATGAGATTGTCAGTATGGAGTTCCTTGTGTGCCTCATAATTTGGTATGCCTTATTATGTGAGATCAACTTTGCAAGCAAGGCACTACAAGCAGCAGATGTGTCAATGGACACAGCCATTAGGCTAATCGAGTCTCTGAAAGAGTTTTTGCTCAAATATAGAGAAGAGGGCTTTCAGAAGTCACTTGACATTGCAAGCAAAATAGCCATCGAAATGGATGCTTCTCCTAAGTTCAAAGAGAAACGACTTAGGAAGCAAAAGAATTTCCCAGATGACAATTCATGCACTGGTCATCATGAAAAGGAACCCACAAGGCACTTCAGGTGCATGGTTTTCAATGTTATTGTTGACACACTCCTCCAAGAGCTGTCTGAGAGGTTTTCCAATTTTCAACTTGTGTCTGAGAAATTTAAATTCATCACTAAAATGGAGCACATGACAAAAGCTGAGCTGGAGGAATCAGTGACCACATATGCCCTGACCACTTGTGATGTTTCAAGAGATATCATTCAAGAAATATACCCAGCAAGCCGTCTACTGAAGGGTTACAAGGCTCTAGAAAAGTTAAATTTCCTAATTCAAGAGGACCTTGATTTGGTATTTCCAAATTTGACAGTAGCCCTTAGAGTATTTTTAACCATGCCTCTGACAGTTGCATCTGCAGAGAGATCATTTAGCAAGCTGAAGCTCATCAAAACATACCTTCGTTCAAATATGAGCAATGATCGCTTGTCCCAGTTAGCAGTGATCTCTATTGAAAACAGTGTGGCACGGTCTATTTCATTTGATGTTATACTTGACAAATGGGCAAATGCAAAGTCACGGAATGTAACAGTTTAAATGTCATAAATGTTAAAACTCTGACATGGACTCCAGGCTGTTAAGATGTCATATTTCCGCTACATAAAATGTTGAGCACTGACTGAGTACCACTACTGTTATATATTTGTACTTTATAAAACTTCTTATTTGTTTATGATTGAAATGATCACCTGATATAATATGTAACATTAAAAAAATCTGTAATATTACTACTGTATTTTCTAAGTGCATGACTAAGCTGTATGAGGCGGCAAGTAAAAAGGAGCGGGTGGGGGGGGCGCCGATGATGTGTTCGCATCCACCTCAAAAATATGTAGTTGCGCCCCTGTGTGTGTGTGTGTGCGTGTGAGAGACATCTGGGCGGTTAAGATTTTGAATCAGTTCAGGAGGGCATTTATCTCTACAGAGTTACTGTGTATGGCACCTGTATCAAATACCAGTAGTCATATGTTTACTTCCTCAGTAACTGATACAACTTTTGACACCTGGGTCTTGAGGGGAGTATATTCATTGTGTGATCTCTGTTTTGATGGTAGATTTGCCTCTTTTGAGCAGCTGATACAGAAGTTTGATATTCACAAGTCATAGTTTTTCAAGTATTTTCAGCTGTGACATTTTGTAAGGTCTAACTCTGATGCAACAATTTTCAGTCAATTCATCTGGACAGTTTCTTTTGTTTGTTTGTTCTGAAACGTTTCACCTTCCATCCAGAAGGCTTCATTAGTCAAGGAAACGCACAACACAAAACTGATTCTTCCCCCAACAGCTTTCTCCAAAGTGGAGTAGCGTTCATGTAAATAATGTCACCATAGTGACTATGGTGACATTATTTACATGAACGCTTCTGCAAGCACCTTGCAGATGTTAGATGCTGTCTATCATGGTGTGCTAAGATTCATAACTGGCTGTAGCTACTGTACCCATCACTGCACCCTGTATTCACTGGTTAAGTAGTCATCATTAACTTCACACAGACTCTCACACTGGTACGTTTTCATCTTTAAATCACTCCTTAACCTGCTGCCTTCATGTATCTCCTCATACTTGTCACGTCATCAGTGCAGCTACAGCGTGCAGTGCACTCTCAAGACATTATTACCTACAGCGTCCCCTCAGTGCAGACTGAATTCGGCAAAAGCGCTTTCTCTTACTCCGCTTCTGTAACCTGGAACACTTTGCAAAAAGATCTGAAGTTGTCGGTTGACCTAAGGGATTTTAAACAACTGTTTAACCTGTATAAATAAAGGTTGAATGAATGTACTACTTTGAGTTGATCTTTCTCATAAAGTCCCTGACTGTGGTGAGTCTCTTTCACATACTTTATTACAACTTCTTGGTCTCTGGCAAAGGTCACCTTCAGGATTCAATGCAATTATCCTGGCACTTCTACTGTGATCCATCTGAAAGGCCACCAGAACAACTACTATAAATACATGTAGTGAGTTTGTTTGTTGACTGTAATGTAATGTGGATGATGATTTGGACTATTGTGGTGTTCCAGGAGCTTTCAGGCAAAAACCAAGAGAAAGTGGCTGAGGTGAACCGTGTGAGAGTTGAGCTACAGGAGCAGATTGGGTTTTTACAAGCAGAGAGGACGGCTCAGGAGGGACTGAAAGCTAAGATCAGTGCTCTGGAGAGAGAAATGAAAGGTACATGCTCACTGTTTATTTTCATCATTACTGTACCATTTCTTTCTTCAATCAGTTTGTTCCTTATTGTGTCTTTATTGATTCAAACTATAGAGAAATAGGATATTTTGTGAAAATGCAATATGAACGTTGAGTGCTGAATGAATTTGTTGAAATCTTATGAAGAAGCTGAAACAGATTTTTTAAAGCTTTAAGAAGCAAAAATGTAACTAGAAGTTAAAATTTGCAAAATGATCGCTACATTTAGCAGAATGCCTAAAATATCAACAGACAAGCTAAAAACTAAAGTATCAAAGGGATTTGGTTAAAACTAAAAATAACAAAAGGCTTTCTAAAAGCTAAAAACCAAAATGTAGCTAAAAGCAGCAAAGGTTAAATAAAAAATTACACATTGGCACAGCGTGGATGGAGACACAGTGGAGGAAAAAAGTTCAGGTTTTGAGAGACACTCCCATTAATTGACTTCTGAGAAATCAAAGAAAAAGGCTTTTTTTCCCAGGAAGTTTTGTACTGGGTCTGAAGTACATCGGACTTGGCATGGCTCACTGTCTCCAGGCTTGCGTTTAACAAGAAAACTGTGCATAGACAATTACTCTTTTTTGCACCTCAAAATGTCATAAAAAAGTCAAAAGTCCTCACACTCTGGTGCGAACCGCTCCACTTCGAGCCAAAGATCACGGCTCAATGACACCAACAGGACCCCATCATTCACAGATAGTAGAGATGGAATCCTGAGGCCACGGAACTGGACTCCTGCACCCTGACTGCACCGAGGAATTCTGTCCACTAAAGGTATGAACATAATCTGTAACAACGGGCAGCCCTGGCAGAGTCCAACTCCTACCCTGAAGGGGTCTGATTTATTGCCGGCAATGTGAACCAAACTCTCGCACCGCTTGTACAGGGATCGAACCGCCCGTAACAACGGGTCCCCAATCGCATACTCGTGGAGCACCCCCCACAGTATACCCTGAGGAACATGGTTGAACACCTTCTCCAAGTCCACTAAACACATGTAGACAGGATGGGCAAACTCTCATGACCCCTCAAGGACCCTAGGGAGGGTAAAGCTAGTCCAGTCTTCAACAGTCAGATTGGAACTCGCATAATTCTTCCAGGATCTGGACCAACAATCAGACTCGCTTATTCAGTAGCCCTGAATAGACCTTACCAGGGAGGCTAAGGAGAATGATGCCCCAATAATTGGAGCACACCCTCCGGCCCCCTTTTTTGAAGAGGGGAAACAACATGCCAGTCTGCCAACCCAGTAGCACTACTCCCGATGTCCATGCGATGTTGTAAAGGCGTGCCAATCAAGACAGCCCCACAACATCCAGAGCCTTAAGGAAATCAGAGCATATCTCATCCACCCCCAGAGCCCTGCCACCATAACTACCTCGACGACTAACCCCAAAGTCTCTGCTTCCTCCATTGAAGATGTGCCGGTGAGATTGAGAAGGTTTGAGAAGTATTCCTTCCATCTCTCGACAACATTACTGTTTGAGGTCAACAGCAACCCACTTTCACTGAACACAGTGACAAGTGCTGTTTTCAGATGGTTTGCCAGAATCTCCTCAGATCGAGTCATTATCCAAGGCCTCTCCAAACTCCTCCCTCACTCTTGCGTCAGCAACAGCCAAAGTTGTGGCCCGCTTGGACCTCCAGTACGCCTCAGCTGCCTCTGGAATCCTACCAGACAACAAAGCCCAGTAGGACTCCTCCTTCAGCTTAACAGCCTCCATAACCCAGGATGTCCACCACCAAGTTCAAGGATTACTACTGCGAGAAGCAACCTGGCCGCCACAGCTCATGGCAACCACCTCAACAACTGAGGCGTGGAACATGGCCCACTCTGACTCAATGTCCCCCACCTCAGCTGGGATGCAGTTAAATCTCTCCTGGTAGTGTGAGTTGAAGATCTTTCTAACGGGTTCTTCTGCCAGGTGTTCCCACCAAACCCTCACTACATGTTTGGATTTACCAGGTCTGTCTGGCATCTTCCCCTGCCATTTGATCCAACTCACTACCAGATTGTGATCAATTGACAGCTCAGCTCCTCTCTTCACCTGTGTCCAAAACTAACAACTGCAAATCAGACGACACGACTACAAAGTCAATCATCGATCTACGATCAAGGGCATCCTGGTGTCAAGTGCACTTATGGATGCCCTTTGCTGGAACATTATTCGAGCATTAGAATTATTTTGCAAATTTCAAAGGGAAATTACTTGCTTCCAACAAAATTCAAAGGACATTTTACAGTCAAATGTTTTAGGTAAACATAAGTCACTGATGTAAGCTGAACAGGCTTTAACCATATTTGTGACAAGGTCATGGAAACAAGCTAGTGCAGATGTGATACTCCTGACATTCTGATCTTTTAGCTGCAAATTGTGGTGAGGGCAGAAGATTGTTTCTTGGCGCCGTAAAAAATTGCTGGAAAAAACTTTGTCAAGTGCTAAGGGCGTAGCAACACTGTGGTTGCTGTCAAACAGGAGTTTTTTCAGATTTGCCACAATCCAGCCACATTACAATAGGTCATGTAACCTGTCATAAGATTTTAATGCACTTGATCTAGCATTTTGAATTATCTTTTTTTGTTGTTTTCTTGCAGTAATGAGCAATACCCACAGAGAGGTGCTGCTTGACAGAGAAAGTGAGAAGTCTTCCTTGTTGGAGAAGCTGCGACTAAAAGAGGCCGAAATCCAAAGAATTAGAGAGGACGAAGCCCATCGAGCCAGCTGCCTGCAGAGCGCCATCCTTGCCTACATTCAGGGCTCTCCTTTGGGACACTACAGCAGCCCAAATAAATGACAGGATAACATTTCTGAGCTCTCTCAGAGACACTGCTGGGTAAAATGTGTCGTGATTTCCTGAGCTCAAAGGCTTTAGGTGAAAACAAAACAGTAATGTCTCCTGTATAAAAGCATGGGGCACTCAAGAGTCACCAGGAAAGAAACCATGAGCAATCATTGCAACAAACGCCATGGTCCAGTTAAGAATGAGAGCTGAAAATGTCAAATATCTAAGTCTGAGTGATTGGAATCATCTTATCTAAATATACACCACTTTTTATTTTTATGTAAGAGCTCCAGAACACCTTTTTTTTTTTACAAAGTTGCAAACTCTGTTTACATTTTTGTAATGAAAAGTACTGTTTTAAATAAATGTGTTGTTTCATATCTTTCTTTTTCTCCAGTATGCACTGTTTGTTTTCCAATCAGTTAAGAAAAATTATTATTGACTTTCTCCATCATCTTACGAGCCTTGAGTTGTTTAACAAAACTTTGACAAACCCTGTGATTTTCTGGATATTCTGTCCTAATTGTGTTATTGTTTATGAATCATTTGCATGGTTGAGATCCATTTTTCTTCCGTACACTTTTCAGCACGTAACTCGTTCCGCAGTTTTTATGGTATTTCAACAATTCATGTATCAAAACATTCAGCTCATTCACAACATTCCTGTATTTGTGTAATTTTTACTTGTTTAAATAATTTGCGTTTTCAGCCATGTTTTCCTCACTGAAAATGTTCTTCACATCTTTCATCCCACTGTGCTGTTCACAACCTTTTACTGCTCATTTCAGTTTTTTTTTAAATCTGTCTTTGTAATCCTTTCAGCTTCTTTCTGCTAATTTCAGCATTTTTGTTATTTTTTTTCAGCTTCTTACTGCTAAAATCTCTTTACTGCTTTCTTGGCTACTTTTTTGGCATATTTAAGTTTATTTAACCTTTTTACTGTTGTTTTTTGTAGCTAATTTCAGCGTTTGTGATTCTTCAGAATAATATCTACTTTTTATGCTCCTTTCTGCAAACTTTCTGCAAATTTAAGCTTTTTCTAGTCTTTTCAGCAACTTTTTTTAATTTGCTAATTTCAGCTTTTTCAAGACATTTAAGTTTCTTTTTTGCTAATTTCAGATTTTTTTTGCAATCTGTTCAGACTCACAGCCTATTTCAGCTTATTCTACTGCATTTCTTCTCTTTTCAGCTTTTTCTACACATTTCTGGTGTTGTTTTTTGTTGATTTCCACTTTTATTTTCCTGCTTTCAGTAAATATCATCTGTTAAAATTCAGCTCACATGAATGGTAAATGGTCTGTACTTATACAGCGCCTTTCTATCTTATCAAGATACTCAAAGCTCTTTACACTACAATCTGTGTCCTCATTTACCCATTCATACAACACTACAGGTCACTGCAAAACTAACTGAACAAATCATTCTAAAGAGACTAATCAGAGCTTTATCACATACATACACCAATGAGACACACATTGGAGGCAATGAGGGATTAAGTGGCTTGCCCAGGGACACTTCAGCATGTGGCTGCTGGTGGAATCGAACCCCCAACTCTCGCATGGGAGGACGAGTGCTCTAACCACTCAGCCACAGCCGCCCAAATGAACAGTTTAGTGATTAAACCAACCACTAGAGAGCACAAGCCAGTGTATCTTGTGCCGGTCCTAAGTCCGGGTTAAATGGTGGAAGGGCATCCGATGTAAAACACTTTTGCCAAAACCATAATGCGAATTCATCAAAGCAAAACCATACCAGATCGGTTGAGGCTCGAGTTAACGACAACCGCCACCGGTGCTGTTGACAAACGGTGCCAGTGGAAATTGTGCTACTGTTAGTCGAAGACCAAAGGAAGGAAACGTGTAAGGAGACAGAGGGAGAAGAGGAAAATCAAGAATATAGGACTGAGGGTTGCAACTCTAAATGAGGGGACATTGACAGGCAAAGGTAGCGAACATGATGCAGAGAAGGAAGGTAGGTGTTTTAAGAGTCCAAGAGATCAAGTGGAAGGACAGTAACGCTCGCAGCATTGGAGCAGGGTTCAAACTGTTTTACCATGGTGTGGATAGAAAGAGAAATGGAGTAGGGGTGGTCCTGAAGGAGGAGTTGGCAAAGAATGTAGTAGAGGTGAAGAGAGTGTCAGATAGGGTGATGTGTCTGAAGGTAGAAGTAGAAGGTCTGATGCTAAATGTTGTCAGTGGTTATGCTCCACAGGTTGGATGTGATGGGGAGGAGAAATATACACAGTGAACCCTCGCTATAACGCGGTTCACCTTTCACGGTCTCGCTGCTTCACGGATTTGCATTGTGCATTGTGTTCTGCATTCTGATTGGCTAAACAGTCTCTCCGCTTCTCCGCTTCTTCTCTGCCTGTGTGTCAATAACATTGCGGTTTAATATGTACTGTACACGTACGTAAAACAGCTTGCCAGATTTAAGATTGCAAATTCCCTTGCTATTTCAAGTTTCTCTAAAACCCATAATGTCGACAAAACGTTCTACACCGACAAAGGCACTTGCGGTCGGGCCCAAAAGGCAGAGGAAGATGCTAAGTATCGCAGAAAAAGTTAAACTTCTGGACATGCTAAAGGAAGGTAGAAGCTATGCAGCTGTAGGTCGCCATTACGGAATTAATGAATCTTCCGTTCGTTCCATAAAGAAAGAGGAAAATAACATAAGGACAACAGCAGCAATAAGTTTTAATAAGGATACAAAAAGGGTTGCAACTGTCTGCAACAAGACCATGGTAAGGATGGAGTCTGCATTAGCTTTGTGGATTAATGACTGCAGAAAAATAACATTACGCTGGATACGAACGTTATCTGCACAAAAGCTAGAACACTGTATCGAGCCTTTGCTGACAGCGACAGGGAAGAGGAGGAGGATGCAGATAACGGGTCATCATCAAGTGCTGTTCACACAGTACCAAGCGCATTTAATGCTAGCAAGAGCTGGTTTGAAAAATTTAAGAAACGCTTTGGACTTAAAAATGTTTCTCTGCACGGAGAGATTGCCTCTGCGAATACTGCTGGAGCAGAAGCGTTTGTGAACAATAAATTTAAAGCGGTCATTGAGGAAGGGGGATATAAGCCTGAACAAGTTTTTAATATGGATGAGACTGGCTTATTTTGGAAACGAATGCCCTCCCGCACCTTCACCATGCAGGAAGAAGCCAAAGCCCCAGGATTTAAGCACTGGCTCTCCTCAGGGATGTGTGTTGAGCCCCCTCCTGTTTACTCTGCTCACATATGATTGTGCAGCTACCCATCCAGGCTGTCACATTGTAAAGTTTGCAGATGATACAGCGGTGGTGGGATGCATCACAAACAATGATGAGTCCAGCTACAGGCAAGAGGTGGAACACCTGGAGAGCTGGTGCAAAGAGAATAACCTTCACATCAATGTGAAGAAGACAAAGGAGATGATTGTGGACTTCAGAAGGAACAAAAACACCTACACCCCCCTGAACATAAGAGGATCTGCGGTGGAAGTGGTCTCCAGCTACAAGTACTTGGGTGTACACATGAACAACAACCTCAGCTGGAGCAACAACACCACCAGCCTGATCAAGAAAGCTCATCAGAGACTCTACTTCCTCAGACGTCTGAGACGAGCTGGTCTGGAAGCTCAGTCCTCACCTCCTTCTACAGGTGTGCAGTGGAGAGCATCCTGTGCTCCAGCATCAATGTGTGGCATGGAGGCTGCACAGCTGCAGAAAGAAAAGCTTTGCAGAGAGTGGTGAAGGCTGCACAGAAATCTGTTGGAGTCAGCCTCCCCACCATCACAGACATCTACATCTCCAGATGCAGGAAGAGGGCCACCTGCATCATGAAGGACCCAACTCACCCAGCACACACACTTTTTGCCCCACTCCCCTCAGGAAGGAGGTTAAGGAGCATTAAGTGTAGAACCACTAGACTGAGGAACAGCTTCTACCCTGAGGCTGTTAGACTCATGAATCTCTAACTAGAATAATCACTGTGAAAAACCATATCATGTTGCTGCTGATCTGTTTCATGTTGCTGCTGATCTGTTTCAATGTTGATGTGTTCATGCGTGCACATCTGCTCACAGACTCATGTTCATGTTTGTGCTGATGTTCAATGTTTTATGTTATGAGTGCTTAGTGTATATTTAGTTGATGTTTTTCTTAGTTCATATCTTAGATGTTATTACTGTTTTTCTTATACATTTTATTGTTGGATGTAACTGGGACCCTGTGTACATAATTTCGCTCCACCACATGTACCACATGAGGTGCGAATGACAATAAAGAAACTCTGACTCTGACTCTGACTCTCTGATTTAAAGCCCATAAAGATCGTTTGACTCTGGTTATGTGTGGAAATGCTGCAGGTTTTATGATTAAACCAGGGCTTATTTATAGGTCTAAAAATCCCAGAGCACTGAAAAACAAAAATAAGGATGATTTGCCCGTTTACTGGATGCACAACGCAAAGGCTTGGATGACAAAAGTGCTCAATCTGGATTGGTTCAACCAATGTTTCATCCCGGAGGTCAAGTGTTATTTGAAAGGAAAATTACTAGACTTTAAAGTGCTTCTGCTCGTTGACAATGCTGGAGGTCACGCTGATGATTTGGTGTATGATGGTGTGCAAATCGAATTTCTGCCCCCAAACACTACATCCCTAATTCAGCCCATGGACCAAGGCATCATCCGCGCTTTCAGGGCTCTCTATACGCGCAACACCCTGCAACATCTTGTTGAGGCTATGGACTCAGATCAAGATTTCTCACTAACGGACTACTGGCGTGGATACACCATCGCATCATGTCTCCAAAATATTCAGAGGGCCATTCAGGAGATGAAAACTGAAACTTTGAATGCCTGCTGGAAAAAACTGTGGCCAGAGGCAGTGCAAAACCCAACCGGAGGCTCGCTTGAGGAGATCCATCACTCTGCCGTAGATACAGCTGTGAATCTCGCTAAACAGCTGGGAGGAGACGGTTTTAATGACATGAATCGGGATGACATTAATGCCCTGATTGATGCA